ACACACCCACACACACACACACACACACACACACACACACACACACACACACACACATACTCGGGTAGTCTAAATTAACACGTTATGAATGAGTTAACACAAAGTCCCTTAACACAACAACAAAAATTGTACGCCGAATAACACATCCCCCTTTATTTGTAAAGCCCTGTACTTGGGGAATTCTGGTAGCGACGCAGCACACAAGTCAACGTCAGTATTACCCTCCAGAAGAAATGCACTGCAACTGCAGCCAATATACACAATGTGTTTAAAGAGAACACTACAGTGGAGCAGCAACCATTTGGACTGTTGGTGCACCACCACCTCTCCCCTGTATGAAGAGGGGAACGCACTTTGTAGGTGATTAGCATTTAGCACCGAGCTAGGTTGTTGCAACTCGCAAATGGCCCTTTTCCACCGTGCTTGTGCTAGTGCTAGTTCCGGGCCAGTGCCCAGTTCTTTCTTTTTCCGCCACCAAAATTGGCTCTAGCTCTGGTGCTTGAAACTGGTGCTTAAGCTGGCCCCAATTATTTGTTGGGCCGGACTCTGGCACCAACTACAGCGGGGGGGGGTATCATGGCGATCGCAGATGTAGACGAATGATTCCCTGGACACACGGAAGTTTTGCACAAATTGTTGAGCGGTGAACTCCCACCACAAGAGCAATCGTGGATGTGCCCAGAGAGCATGCGATCTCCGACTCGCAGCTGGCCTCGAGATCATCTATTATCATTAAGAACACGAGACATGCAGACAGCAAACGCTTAGATAAGCGTTTGCTGACTGCATGTCCCTGACTGTTTTATTTACTACATACAAGTATAATCAATGCTATGATAAGTTGCCTAGCAGATGCTTACAGTGCATTATTATTATTATTATTATTATTAATAGTGCAGGCGCTCTTGGCTAAACGTTTGGACGCTTTACGATGACGTAATGACATAGCTCCCGCTTGGCTCTCTGCTGGTGGAAAACCGAACACATTCTTCGTAATAACTTGACCTTATAATGCCATTTGTATCATATTTGATACATGCATTTTCATTATGTAACTCATTCTTTATGTTACATTAAATTATCTGTATCAAATTTGATACTGCAGGTTTAAAATATGATTTTTTCCAAATTTTCATTTTCAGATGTAATCTACATAATGCTTATAAATGGAATACGACAAATATCTAAAACAACATGAGATGGCAAAAATATATTTGTGGATTTTGTTATAAGGGTTAGTGAACACCTCAGTTCCCAAAAATCTGATTTTTCTGGCTATTCCTTCATGGGTCAGGCATTAAAGGGTTAAGCACCAACTAAGCACAACGCTGGCCCTGGTGCCGAACGAGCACCAAGTTTTGGAAAAGAGGTAAAAGGGGTTTGCATGGCCACTCTCAGGGCCTTTTGAGAGTCAAGAGCTAAATGTATGACCGTCTTGTTATTTAGACTCCAAATTACTTGCTCTTTAGACGTGAGCCGTATTTTATCCCATTTCCCCATAAGATAGCTCGTGTCACATTATCAGTTTTATTTCTGGCTTGTTTGCCAGAAAGCTGGTCACGAAGCACAATGTGCTTACTACAAAACAAATACTTAAATAACAAAATAAAGGGATGCAACCTTGTTCAAAGGCATCACTGTAACACAATTTTGCAATAATGAAAAATACAAACATAATTATGAATATATACAGGTGCCAGGGTGAACCAGTGGTTTGCATATGGGCCTCACAGTACAGAGGTGCGGGGTTCGATGCCGGCCTCAGCTTTACTATGTGGAGTTTGCATGTTTTCCCCGTGACTGCATGGGTATTCTCCGGGTACTCCGCTTTCCTCCCACATTCCAAGAACATGCACGGCCGGCTGATTGAACACTCTAAATTGTCCCTCGTAATGTGAGCGCGAATGGTTGTTGGTCTATGTGTGCCCTGTGATCGGCTGGCAACCAGCTCAGGGGGAGGATAAAGTAGTTCAGATAATGGATGGATATTTAATGCATACATTTGACTACACTTTTGCTCATCACCTAGTAACTGGCCACACTATAAATTCACTATCTTCTGGCTCTATGTCATGCTACTTTCATTCTGGCTTTTTATACCATCCCTTTCTTATCTCCTTCAATCCTTGCTTCCTCATTATCACCTTGTACACGTCTTGGCAACATGGCAAGCGCAGCCTATTAATGCCAAGATAAGACTCTGAGGTGATGCTCATAAACACAGATACCGAAAACTAACGGACAGACAAAGAAACACATTCATATCATACTAATGAGATTTTTTTTAATGCATTGGTTTGTTGTTGTCACCAGCGGCTTCCATGCATTATGTTGAGAGTGGACAGGAAATGAGGAATGCGAGGCCAGCTCACGTGAATTACAGTACATTTGATGGAAATTCGAACAGCGCCATTGCCAACTAAAAATCATTTGGCTGCTGCAAGCTGGCGGAGAAAGAAGCTGGGCAAAATGGGCAGCGAAAGGTTGTGCAGCATAAAGCGCTTACCTTTATCCACTAGTAATTCAATCAATTAGAATACGATAAAGGCACAAGCAAAAAGAGAAGACTTGTTAGACAATCCCAACCACTGACCATTTGGATTCAAATTAAAGCCGTCAAGCTCTTACCGAGTTCCTCCAATTCGGATGTCATTGACTTGGAGCGCATGGACAGGGCAGTCGTGGGAGCTCTCTTTGGTGGCGGAGGAGCTGAGGGTCAGATGGACAGAGTTACCACGGGTACCAGTTGTGATGTTAAGATAGTGGAGGTGATCAAAGAATATTCTATGATTCTAGGTTTGATTCATCATTTTTCACTCAATGAAAACATTTCATTCTTTGAACCGATTCTATTGACGGTCTGGTTTAAGTTAGCACTTGAGGATCATCTGATTAGCTGTAGTCACAAGATGCAGATCTACCAAAGGCTTCTGTATGAGTGCCTGTAGTGCACTGAAAAAAAAAAAGCAAGACAGTGAAAATGGATATAAATAATGCAGAGGTTCAAATACTCCAGAAACAGCCTTACAAATGTTTTATAAGGAAGGAAAGTGCATTTCCTAAATGGAGAGGAGACACACAACAGTGACTTTGGTTATCTGTTCTCAAACTCTTTTCGTTTTGAGTTAATTTCAGTTTGTCAGTATATAGCTCAAACAGTGTACTGGACTGTCCTTTGAAAAACACTCTATGTTAAGGTAAAATTGCCATAACGTCATCAAATTCATGATTCTTTGGCCCTTGCTAACATGTAAACTACTGTTATGGCCTCAACCATATTGAACTATTGGCTATATTTAACGCAGTGTAGTGTAATACAGTCAAACATCGGTTTTCGAACGTCTCTGTTCTCGACCAAATCAATTTTCGACCAAAAATTTCAAGTCTTTTATGCCTCGGATTACGACCGAAAATCGGTTCTCGACCAAACTGAGCACATTTGAATGCGCCACTTGACTCCTCTCGCCTTCCTTACACGAGGAAGTGACGCTTCCTCGGGTAGACGAGGAAGTGACGCTTCCTCGTGTAGCGTTCCATTGTGAGCAGACGTGTGAAATAAAAAGATTTTTTTTTTAAAAAGAGCGTGGTTTCGGTTTTTGAACAAATCGGTTTTTGAACAGCCTTCTGGAACAGATTATGGTCGAAAACCGAGGTATGACTGTGCAGTCGGCACTCGTTGATCATTCTCAAAAATAAACTTCTGAAGCCTGAACAATGCAAGGTATGTGACAAACCACTAGTAATACACCGCAACTAAATTACAGCTAAACTAAGGGGGGAAAACAAATTGGATAGTCAACACTAAACTCAGTACATCACCTAACAAATCTGACATTTCAGAATCCACTCCATCGAGTATGCTTTCCAGTTCAAATAAAAACACTAAAAAGGAGCATGGCTGATTTTTCACAGACCGTAAGTTGATGATGCATGAAAAACGTTGTCCAGTGTATCGTTTGAACTGACAAAGAGAAACGAACCTGCTATGTCAGGATGACGTGATAACATTTTGCTTAATGGGAACAATCCTGCTGCAGGATTTGATAACATTCTACCTTTTTTACGTGCTGTGTCCTCGGGGTCCAGATTCCGGCTCACCGTCACCACCTTGATCCAAAGGCGGTTCCCACCCTGGCGGATCATGTTGACCACCTGTCTGTGGCCAACTTTCACCACGTTCTCTTGATTCACCTAACACATGAACACACAAAAGCACACGCGCGCGCGTGCGCGCGCGCGCACACACACACACACACACACACCACACACACACACACACACACACACACACACACACACAAAAATGAATTTAGTGGTAGGGGTTTGAGAAAGCTATTCAGAAAAGAAAATCTGACGTGAACACTTCTGTGGACATAGAGTAATAATTGTAAATAAATGGTTAAAAGTACATGTCACCTGGGTGCATAGTGCTAAGTCGGTACATTCCTCATTGTGTTTTGGACCTAATATGAATTGGGCCTGTCAGGGCTCCTCATTCTGAGTTCTGGCCTGTCTCTGTGTATGTGTTTGTGGTGTGGTCGCAATGACATTGCTATCTTGAGTTCCCTTTTGAAACTTGTATTGGACCATGGTTCATTGCTACTTAATTAAGTGACACATCCAGCATCTTCCGCAGATGAAGAGATGCTAAGGACACACAATAGAATCACTTCTCATTTGAAACATCACTAACTGTTGCTTTCCCTGGAGTGTTTTTTTCTTTCATATAAAGTTTAGAACTACAGTTTGTAGTTTTGATTACCGTAATTTCCGGACTATAGAGCGCACCAGATTATAAACCGCACCCACTACATTTTTAAAGGAAAAACGATTTTGTACACACATAAGCCACACCTGTCTACAAGCCGCAGGTGCCCATATTGTAACATGAGATATTTGCAAAGAAAGAGGTTTCAACGTTTAATAACTTAAACTTAACTTTTCTTTGCCGCAGCACGACGGCATTAAAACAGCACTCACACGGCTGGTTTAAAACAAACAAAAAAAAGGCACCATTCCTGCCGTAATACTCGGTCAACCATTCCTGCCTGCATTGGGCTTTCTAACATCCACACTTTCGTGTCAACTTTCAAGACAATGTCTTTCGGGAGGTTTTTTTTTTTGACATACGTAACCAGGTGAACAATACTATGACTGTCGTCAATGCTGCCTTAACCGTCACTTTAAAAGGAGCGTTGGATAATCTCGTGGGAAATCTCGTGAGACTTGAACCACAAAGTGAAGGCAGACGAACGCTGAGCTGTGCTCATTCAGACCTGATGTATCTGCAATCTGCATTGTAACCCAACTGATATTAAGAGTAAAATATCGTCGTTTGGGAGTTTGAACAGTGTTGCACAGTGGGTCATGTGAAGATGTAAAAGACTTATTGGCAGTTAAACAAAACGCTTGATTTCAACCAGTTAAGTTTCGGGAGCAAGCACTTTTTCCCACATAGCATCAGGTAGATCTGAATACTGCATTTTATGTTTGGTTTATCATTGACTACTATTTAAAACTGTGAGATGATCTTAAACATGAACAAAAGGTTATGTGGTGAAATGTTTTGTAAACTGCAATGCCCGCTGACAATAAACCATATCCACATGTGAGATCAGCTAGAACAGAAACCTTTACAGTCTCACATGTTAGCTATGGAAATTCAGGCTTGATGGACTCCTCTGCACACCTCCTTTTCCTTTCCAGTCCCGCCCCCGTCTACTCTTTCATACAATAACATCTATAATAATATGGATCATAAAAGTGGAGGATGATGGAAATGACAGCGGTAGGAGATAGATGGCATGAAAAAGGATTGGAGGGAAAGACAGGGAAATCTCTTTGGGTTTTAATGGCTCACGTAGTACAGTGCTGGGATCACACATCACCAGGACAGGGATTGTATTAATTAGAAACACTACAACAGCTGTTTCACAATGACCTCCTCCACACACTCGTGCACGCACTCGCACACATTTACTTTGCATAGGGTTAGGATTATGTAATTTACTCCTTCCTCCACCCTATTATACAATAGTGATGGTTACAGATAGAGACATTCAGTACAGCTCACGTGGACACACAAGTAACTTTTCTGCAACTAAAATATATTTTATCCTCTTTGTATGAAACTGCTGGGACAAAAAGGATAACAAATCAATCCTAAATTAAATATCTACTTGTGATATTAAACGCATGTCCTTCCTGGAGGTATACTGTCCACCCATCAATTTTCTTTTTTTTTTTTTTCCCCCAGCACAAGTAGTACTCAACATGATTATATCAGTGGATTCTATCTCAGCTGACTCGACATAAGAGGTTGTACATGATGGACTTAAATGCTGCGGGCTTCATTTGTATCACATTTTTTATAACTTTAAGGTACTCAAAACCCCTGACCAAATCACACAATGATTAATGTAGCTGATTGTCAGGAAAATTAAGTAACAGCTCATTCCAATGAGGACTCACTATTTTGCTCAAGGATACTTCCACAGGTTATCAAACCCACAGCTTTCAGTTTGAGAGATGGCCACTCTACCATTCGAGCCACACCAGCCACATCACAGGACTGACTTGAAATGACAGAGCAACATTCACAAATCAACGGGAAATTTGGAGTCTTCAGTTAACCTCATGTTCTTTTTGGCTCATGATAGCACAGAAAGAACACGCTAATTTGGAATCAAACATTAAACTAGGCTTATTTCCCAAAACCTTTTCATCTTAAAAGAATAAGAATAAGAAAACCTTTATTCGTCTCACAATGGAGACATTCCCAATTTACAGCAGCAAAGTTATGAAAGAAAGAAAGTAGAAGAACAAAAGGCCCAAATCGAAAATCTGATTCTCCCGGGACCTGATAACACTAATACAGACATTGTATTTAGGGATGCACAATAACTATTGGACTGATAATGGGGAAAAAAAAGCACATCCACGTAATCCGATAACGATAACCAATATATATATATATATATATATATATATATATAAAAAATCCTCGTCTCACCCAATCCTTCCACTGGCAATACAATCAAGACCGTAATACATAAACTGGACTGATGGAAAAAAAAAGAGAGAGAGAAAACTTTTTATTTCAATCTACCTTTTTTTTTCGCACAATTATTTTTGTTGAATTACAATTTAATCAATCCATTGAATTGAAGAGCCTCCCCGCCAATAATACTAACCGGAATCACGTCACAATTTCTTCCATCAAAAGTACCCAAAACGGCACCTTGAAGGAGTCCATGTTTTCTTCTGTGTCAGGTCGTCACTTGATGCACTTTTTAGTGGCACCGGACATGAAAAGGAACAAGAAATGAAGAAAACATGGCAGTCTCTTTATTTTTTTTTCCATAGCTGTATATTCGCTTAATGGACTTCCCACGTTAGATGAGTGTTTGTGTTTTGCTCTACTCAAGTCTCCTGCTCTTGAAAAGGTTCCCTTTCAGTCAACCACAGAGGTTTCCATCCAACTTGTCCGTGACGTGTCGGTGCATGTGTCGGGGTGATTCAATGTCTCAAGTGTACAATAGTACAGATATTACTCGCTCAGAGTAGGAGATTCCTGCCTCTTGTGTTAGAGGGGCCACTTGGTCTGCAAAAACCCAACCAGAAGCTGAACAAAATTCCTTTTTTTTTTTTTTTTTTTTCCAACCA